CCCCGACGTGTCCCAGGTCATCGCCCCCGCGGAGCCGGATCCTGCCGCCAGCCCCGAGGGAGCCCGGACGGAGCTGGACGAGGAGATGGAGAATGACATCTGCAAGGTGTGGGACATGTCGATGGACGAGGTAGGAGCGATGTTCTGCCCCGCAGAATCCTCCTGGACGTGGCAGAAGGCACAGAGTCATCCGAGCTCGGTCAGCTCTCGAAATAGGCTTATTTCCCTCTAGCAATTGTAGTGCGCCCTACTGGTAAAGCATAGTTTTCTCTGATAGATAAACAGCCTTTCAAAGTTTGACTACAGACTTGCAGTGGCAACGTAGCACAGCTTTTTGGTATTTTTCTCAACATTCTCAAATGCTGGAAGAAATTCTCAAGTTTTTAATATATATATGTATAAGTATATAAAATTATTTTATTTGCTGGCTTGTTGAGATTTTTTAAATAAACATGGAATATGTATCCTTTACTCCCAAATAGAGAACTCATCTTGTGTTTTAATGTGGTAAAATGAGGAGGAAATTTCTTTTGTATAGTCTGATCAGGTGCTAATGGCAACACCTTCACTTATGTCTTTTTATAAGTTGGGGTGATATCTTGTCTTAAAACATGGTGTTTACTGGATTCTTCCTTAGTGTCTCTGACCCTCTGTTGGGATAAGGAACAAAAGAACCTTTCCTTGCCAATGTGACTTTTGGTCTCATTGGCATCCTGAATCACCAGAAGGGCTTGAGTTCCTGATCTTGTCTCATTGAAAAGCAAGGATTATTGGTATTCACTGTTAGCAAATAACAAAATTTTTGTAGCGAGTTTGTCATCTCTTTGATCCAGTCCTTGTGCCGTGAGAAAGGGTTTGATTTTGCTCTTGAAAATTGTAGAAGTCCATTTACTTCTCCATTCACTTTCTCCACAGGATGTTGCTTTATTCCTTCAGGAGTTCAACGCCCCCGATATATTCATGGGAGTTTTTGCCAAATCAAAATGCCCTCGCCTTACTGTAAGTATGGGCTGTCAAAAAGCTGTCGTGTGTTAATAACAATAGTAGATAGTTCTGTATATGCATTTACTCTCATCTTCCTTCTCCTTCCACTGCATGTTTGAATGTATTAGGGGAAGCATGAGAAAATGCAAAATCAAATTTTAGAATGCTTTTTTGCAGTGTTTTTAATGTGGTATCAGTAATGTAATCAATAAGTATTTCAGTGATGTTGAAGCTGAAACAAGTCTGCTCACATATCCTCACCCATGTAAACTGATGAGGGACTGAGTTAATCAATCCTAGTTACAAGACTTGTTATAAAAACCAGTAGCCTGGTTTTTCTCATTACTTGTTTTATGATTACTTGTTTTATGATTACTGAACAGAAATGGTCATGGACTTGTTTAGTCAGACCTGCAAAAGTGTGGCAGGATGACCCTGGCTGGACATCAGGTGCCCACTAAAGCTGCTTTGTCACTCCCCCTCCTTAACTGGACAGGGAAGAGAAAATATAACAAAAGGCTCATGGGTTGTGATAAGAATGGGAGAGATCACTCACCAGTTACTCTCACAGGCAAAACAGACTCAATTTGAGGAAATACTTTAATTTATTACCAATCAAATCAGAGCAGGATAATGAGAAATAAAATCAAATTTCAAAAACACCTTTCCCCTACCCCTCCCTTCTCCCAAGGCTCGTTCCTGATTCTTTCCCTCTTGCCCTGAGTAGCACAGGGAAATAGGGAATGGGAGTTGTGGTCAGTTCATCACACGTTGTGTCTGCTGCTCCTTCCTCTTTAGGGGGAAGACTCCTCATTTTCTTCCCCTGCTCCAGCATGGAGTCCCTCCCATAGGAGACAGTTCTCCATGAACTTCTCCAACATCAGTCATTCCCACAGTTACAGTTCTTCCCAGAGTGCTCCAGTGTGGGTCCCCCCCAGGGTCACAAGTCCTGCCAGCAAACCTGCTCCAGCATGGGCTCCTCTCTCCATGGGGCCACAGGTCCTGTCAGGATCCTGCTCCAGCACAGGCTTCCTATGGGCTCACAGCCTTCCTTCAGGCATCCACCTGCTCCAGTGTGGGGTCCTCCACAGGCTGCAGGTGGATCTCTGCATTCCCCACAGACCTCCATGGGCTGCAGGGGCACAGCTGCCTCACCATGATCTGCACCATGGGCTGCAGGGGAACCTCAGCTCTGGCACCTGGAGCACCTCCTGCCCCTCCTTCTGCACTGACCTTGGTGCCTGCAGGGCTGTTTCTCTCCCATATTCTCACTTCTCCCTTCAGCTGCAGTTGCTGTCATGCAGCAGCTTTTTCCCTTTCTGAAACATGTTATCCAAGGGGTGCTCCCACCCTCTTTGAAGCTCTCTTACTTTTGTCTTACTGCTCTGGAAGTGAAATCCTGGACTACATTGCAGTTGCCTCATTATACTGTGTTTTGACTTTTCAGGAAATCTGCGTGGGAATATTAGGAAATATGGCCTGTTTCCAGGACATATGCATGTCCATTAGTAAAGATGAGAATCTTGGGTAAGTGTATATGTGCTTCATACATGCACAAGTACTGCTTTTCTGGACTCACAGTCATGAAGTACATGTTGTAAAAGGATCTAAGTTTGCCTGCCATGCCTCATCTTCATTCACACCGTTTTGGCTGACCTTTTTTGTGTGGGAAGTGTTCGGTGAAGGAAAAAAGAATACAGACCACTGTTTTATTTCTTTTTTTAATCACCAGTGAAATTCTTGAATGTTTGATTTTTAAGTTTGGCAATCTTGAAACACTTAAAATGCATGAGTAGTTAGAAAAAGCTGGTTTTAATCTCAGAACATGACTGGAGCTATGAAATTATCTTTTTATACCTGTTTTTTTAAACAAGGATAGATTTTGTTAACTTTTTTTCCTTGCATTTTCTCCTTAAAGCCAAGTGCTATTGCAGCGTTTGTGTGATTCAGACTCCCCAACTCTTCTGGAAACAAGCAGGTAGGACATCTCAGAAATTAATGGATTGTTAGTGTGGTTCTGCTGTGTTCTGAGGCCTGGAAAGAAAACTGACAGATGGGCTCACTGTTTTATTATCCTCTCATCCCCTCATCTTTTATTGTTTCTGCATTGTCCTGGAATCAGTTCCTGTGAGGTAGATTCCTGTTTCTATCACATCATTCTCATTATTTTGGATTTACACTTGTACAGCTGAAATGAACTGAATTGGCTTCTAATGTATTAAATGAGGAATTCTTGTCTAGGCTGTTGTTAACTTGCCTGTCCCAGCCTGAGGTGGCCAATGTCTGGGTTGAGAGAATCCGAGAAAACCCTTCCGTGTATGACTGTGTTTGCTTTATCATGTCCAGCTCTACAAATGGTAAGTTGCCAAAACAAGTTGGGAATTAGTGGGTTTTTGCAGAAGAAAAAATAAGAACTGAAGTTTGCAGTTTCAAAGACAAGTAGTTTCAGTTGGGAGAACTTCTTGAAAATAAAGGGAACCTTATAAATTTAAAGGACACCAAAACAAACTCATCCTGCCCTTGCAGGTTTATAAATATATATAAAACCAATCAAAAAAGCAGGCACAGAGGAAGAAGAAAGCTCTGCGGGGAATCAAAATAAGTGTAATAGAAGAAATTGTTATTTTCCACAAGAAAGGAAAGGACATGGTCTTTGTTCAGGGATATACATGTGTAATTTTTGAACCTTAAAACAAGACCTCATTTAATTAGTTTTTTTTCAAATCAGATATATGTATTTACTGTTTTTAAAACTGCCATACTTGTGGAATGGTGACTGGAGGAGTGATTCAGTTGCTCTGAGTGGCAGCTGAATACTGTACAAGCTTTGGGTATACAGTCAGTAGAGTGCAAATCTCTCTTAGAACTAATTTATTAAAAACCACACCAAACTCCTAAAAATGGAAATACTTTGAATAGCATTTATGTTTCATATCCAACTAATTTGTAACAGCAGTTATGATTTGTCAAGGAGTCCTAATAATTTAGCTTTTTCAGGGTTTTTATTATTATTATTATTAATGACAGTGCTCCGAAATCCTGCTGATCCAACTGAAATCACAGATCTACCTAAGTAAAATGCAGATTGGCAGGTGGAAGACTGGCATCAAACTGCATATCTAGGGACAAATCTTGGAAAGTTTTTCTTCAGAAGCAGAAGTTAGGACTTTTCAGGAATGTGAAGTCTCTTTGCAGAATAAAGTTCTTGCTTTGCATATGGCAAGACAAGGTTGGAGACATCAGTGGGCTTTCCAACAATTCCTATTTATCTTCACTTGGTTTGTGCCACATAAAGGAATTAAACATAGCAACCCATAGTAGGTCATGAAGAAAATTAATATATTTCAGTACTGAATTTACTCTGAATTCACGTGTAT